GATTTTCGGGAAAATATTGTACTTAAAAATTCAGCTGCTAGGATGAAATTTGGCGCTGTTGAATCCTTATCATCTGAATTTTGAAGTACAATTTTTTCCCGAAAATTGAAACCGCATATTCGGGGCAGTTCGTATGCCAAATTTAGTTGAGATTTGCCCAATAGTTCTTTCAACCGACAGCTCTGAACTCTTTACTCTTTAATTATGACTGCCTTGTATTTCAACTTACCTTTAGTTTAAACTTTATTGGTAATTTCGATAAGGAGAACTTGTTCATTGAGTTGAAATTATCATATAACTGTATATAAAATAATTAAAATTATTAAAATATATACCTAATTATGTTGATTTATAACATATATGACATACCAAAGAAGTAAATCTTGATAATTCAAAAGTGAAGCAAAATGCTTAAATGGTTACCATCAATGCGGAAATTGACAAAAGGAAAAGGTAAATGGGAGGAAATTCAAGAAATAAGATCGTAGAGATGCAGAAGCACATTATATAAAGGAAGAAACAATACATGATAGGAAAATATAATTTTCCTTCATCGTTGACAGACCGAATGTACTGTACTCCAGAATGTCAGCATGTTTTGTAACGACATCTTCAATTCGTTCATGCAAATTACTACAGGTTAATGGAATACGGTTGAAGTTGTAAGACAATTGATCTAACCTAAATATTATTAAATAAGCTAATGGGATGAAAAATGCTGCTATTGAAATCGAATGACTAATTATTAATGCCAGCAACGTAAAGTCTATGTTACAGATTATAATTTCGTGTTTGGACGCTCCTTCTATTGCCGGATACAAGTAAAAATCGTAAAAAATAACAATTGACAAGTAAAATGACAATAATATATTTAATTGAATGATATAGAACAGTTGCAATACTTTAAATTTCTTCATTTCTCCAACATAGCTGCTTCGATTGTTGGGAAAACGAAAATTTGCCCTCTTCAATAAGCTAAATTGAACAGTGAAGAATGTAGAAACGGCTAACGTGAAGGATCTCACATCTAATTCTTTTCCAGGAAACATCCTGATCCATCTTTCACACATTATACCTTGTTTAAATATTATTAACAGCATAGAGAAATCGTTAATGTATAAAAATACTTCAATTATACTGGAATACAACTGGAACAACTTGGCTTTAATTGTGCTTTGCTCTCCTTCTCTAATTAACCGTAATCCGTACACTCTAACGCTACGTAATATAGGTCGTATCATAGTAACAGATGTAGAGAAATCTTCGTGAGACATTGCAATTTTGTTATACTGTATTTAAATTTAAAACAGCAATGTCCAGTCCTTCGTACCAGTAGAGACCTCACAAATAGAAATGACACGACGTCTAGGTTAAATCCTATTGATTGATTGCCGGCCTTGCAACTGGACGCCATTATTATTGTCCGCGACTGTTATTTTTGCTTTTTTAAACTAAATTTTTCATTCATTTACATTTAAAGTTTCCATTTGAGGCAAGAAAACTTAACTGTGGTCAAATTATATTATAGTTTTTATGATAAAATGCCTTGGACGATGGAAAGTGAAGTACTGTATAGAGTCGTCTGACTGTCGATTTATACTTTGCATTATTTTACTTATTTATAACATCTTGTGTAAATGTTAAAACAAATATACTAACGTTTAGACAATATCATATGAATAAGTAGAATAATATAAACATTTCGTATTTCTATTTTATTCATTTTGCATTTGAGTATAATAAATACTAAATTATTTTGTTCTGTTTTGAAAGCCACGAACCAGTGGTGAACGAAGAAAAACAGAAGAAAACCACAAACTAGGGTTCGCGCCTCACTAATGTACTGATCTCGTAAATTTTCCGGATTTTCTTCACCTTTTTACCTGTTAAGTAGGTCCAGTTTTCCATGAAAGTTCTCCCTGGAAGCACCTCCATGGCATATCGCCCATATATTGAATTGTCTTATAATATCAAACTAACTACTTCTCGTTTATTCTTTTAATTCAAGGAAGTACAATTTATTCGTAACGTGTGTCATCCAATAGATGATTTGAATCTTAATTATTGATAAAATTGTCCTGACATACATGTTATTGATTATTTCGTTCAATAACGTGAAAGCTTAATTAAATTCCGCCAATTTCATTAACTTAATTAAACAATTTCGTAATACTTAAGAAATTTTTTTTCCTATAATAACTACGAATTAATTGGTTGTTATAATCTATTAATATTGATGGATAAATCAGATTTATTGCAGTTTGCCCTTGTGATTATAAATTTATTAATGAAAGTACAGGTAACCCCCGTATAACACGGTAGTTACGTTCCAAAAAATTGCCGTGTTATGCGAATCCGTGTTATAAGAATCAAAGAACTAATACGAAAAGGAGGGTTAGGTTCCAAAAATTAAAAAACATGCTAATATATTTTCATAATTAAGATAAATATCTTCATTAAAATTTTTTAAGTGATACATATTAATATAAATTAAACAATGTTTTCTTCGTCATCACTAAAAACACTATTAATTAACCGAGAGCGTTTTCTTTTTGGTAAGTTATCCTTATCCTCTGAGCATTTTTCTGCATTATCTTCAGATCCATGCTTTATCTTTTGCAAAATGTATGTAATTTTAGATTGCTTGCTTCTAGTTAAAAGGTCTTTATAAATTTCCTTATATGGTGCTAAGCACTTATGAAGAATAAAGCAAGTATGGAATAAGGGAAAAACATTCGGCAACATCAGAAGCAGAAGCGTCGCGATCTGGCAACATTGAAACAAGTTTCGAGAAGGACCACCTGTATCGACAGAAGGCGAGAAGAGAAAATTTACATACTTAAGTACTAATAGTTCACGAAAATTATTATTTTCGTGAACTATTATTACTTAAGTATGTAAAAATTTATTACATTTCCTGTTGTACGAGGGTTTTACCCAATTCTCGAACCGTGTCAGAGTGAATCCGTGCTATAAAAGTACCGTGTTATACGGGGAATGGTACCAATTTTCGAACCGTGTTAGAGTGAATCCGTGCTATAGAAGTGCCGTGTTATACGGGGGTTACCTGTAATGGCAGCGATACAATTTAAATAATTGCCTCCCAAATTTGTATTCGAGTTATTTAGATTTTATATAAACTTTTTGTTCTGTTGACATTAAAAGAACTTTTTTAATTATACTTATCATAAATGGAGGTCTGCAGAAAATTTTCCAGGGCCAAGGCTTGGAGACAGATAATTAAATCAATAAATTTTTATTTAATTCATTTTTGGGGGGGTTTCACATAGAAAATTATAGAATACAGAATTATACCAAAGCGTTCCATGGTCGAGAGTGTACTTTCCACATGACGTATTTTACGTTATAAAAACGTCCGTTATAACTTTATACATAACGTACAGTACTTACCAGCATAAGCACAAGAAAAGGTTCACGTTAGAAGTTTATTTTATAAGATTGCGGAACTAGTCATATTTATTGACTAGTCAATGCATCATCATCATTACGAAAGCCCAAATAAAAACGCGTTTTTAGGCCATATTGTTTTTATTTCGGTACGTGTATTTACAATCTTGCTTTTAGTTATCGTTTGTTAATGCAATGACATAATCTTCGATATCTCCGAGAGAAAACAAAGCGAGAGTTTCAATGACGCCGTGCTTGTTTTTACAACATAATGGGCCGGGATGCGCAAACGCCATCTAACGTTATGTGTTTATAATTATAACATCGGTTAAATATCGTGCGCAAATTCTGTAATCGCTTTTACGATTATAACTCGTGGAATTGTTTATTCGATTCCAGGAGAGAGCAAGTAATCCGTTTGTCACCCTCTGCGGACGCCCACGCCATCATGGGCGTCTAGGTGTGTAGGCGTTATATCAGGCCTACAATGATGGCGGTTGGGTGGTAAATTGGGCTTAACATATCTAAGACAGACTACTACTAAAAAATTTCTGAAAGTCCCAACTTGAATACACAATCAGTTTCCCTAAAGCAACAGCTTGACAACATTCTGTTCATTTTTCAGAACTAGTGATTCAAAAATCTCCCTCGTACCTTTTTCATTTTTGACTATATGCAGTAATTAGCTAAGACACTACCTTTTTCTTGCCCACTTAATGCCTTAGTTCGTCCAGGCTTTTTAATGGGGACGGCCGAGCAATGAAAGATTGGGACCTGACGTATCCGCGACAAGTTGCCCATGTAAAATTCCAGGGGTTGCTCGCCCAAATTCGATTCTAGGCCCATAGATCAGTAGGCTGCCATCTTAATCGCTCGACCATCCTGCCTTCCACTCTCAAATAATCACAAATGAGGCTTTTTCCGCTTTAAGAATACTAAGAGGACTTCTTCCACGAGCAGGGACGTATTTAAGGAATGTGCAGGGCGCAACTGCATTCCTTCTGAGTTTTTTCCCCGAGTAAACCTGGGGTTCTTAGATAGTAAAAATCTTTTGTAAGGATTATTATTTTTTTTTGTACATCTTCCGCTAAAAATTTCTGGATCCGCAATTGTCTACGCCTTGCTCACAAAGAGACAATATAATATCTGGGGCAATTTACCTATGCAAATTTCTAAGCTACACCGATCTGGATTTACCGTATAATATCTATGCAAGAGAGGATGTCTTGCAAAATATGAATTTATGCCATTTTTTTTAAATATCGCATAGTGAACTTATCCTCCATTTTGACTATAAAAAAATGTCCCCTCTATTCAAATACAAAGTAATCTCCTCACGTGCAGAACTATTCGTCCTCCATTCATAATTTTTCGTCCGGTAAGTTATGACTCGAACCTCGATCCTCCAGAATTGCAGATAAGGCTTGCCACTGTGGAGAATCCAGATTCGGCTTTAAAATGTTCATAAATTTTATGGAACATTTTATTGGAACAACTTGGATTTAATTGTATTTTGCTCTCCTTCTCTAATTAACCGTAATCCGTAAATTTTATGGCAAAATTTTTATTATAAAACGTAAACAATTTTGGAGAATAAAAATAAAAGATTTTTTAATACAAAAATATAAAGATTACATAAAAAAAAAATTACAGATGTCATATAAACAAATCACAATGATAATCCATTGAGATAATATCTTTATCAAAAACAATAATGATTTTACAAGCCAACAAGAAATCGCTCTGTTGATGAATCCGGATTCTTTATAATTCATCTTATGCAGTTTTGATTGTGTCATCTTCCCTATACTTCATCTACGTTGAAGATATGAGAAACGAGTTATGAAGCCCAAGCCAAATACAATAACGAGTACAAATAATATATGCCATTAATGGAAACGTTATAATAAAATATAAATGTACAAACTTCTACACAATGAAATAAACGCAGCGATATTCAAAACTTGAATTAAAAACCAAGTATAACCTAAATATGCAAATATATGTCCAAAATAGGCTGACATTTCTTTCAGAAGTTATTTAAGTTTTTTCAGAGCATCGGTCAGTAGTTGCATTTCGGCTGAAAATATAAAGAATAAACAATGTTATATTTTGAGTTTTGTAATTTTTTTACACATAAACTACTTATAATGTATAACTTTGATTTTATTTACCACATGATCAATGGTTGTCAGAGATTGCCATACGGGCCTAAACCCGTTTCACACTGTACAAAAATCGCAGCGTGAATTGAGCTTTACTGAGATGCATTAGATTTCCATTAACGGATTGGGCTGATAGGATAAGGCAACGCAACACAACAATACGTATGCGATCTGCCAAGGTGGGATGACTCCCTGGAGGATTTTCTATAAAAAACGTGTTAGACACGTAAAGAAAACTCGGAAGATTCCACGTGGTACGGCACGAATCCGCGACCAACTACCAGTGTTCGATGGCTTTATCCATTCGACCACAGGTGGGCGCGCGAACACTTGGCATTGAAATGTTACAAACAAAAAGCGAACAGCGTACAGAGTATGGCTAAATGGCATAGAAGAATGGCACGGAGCCATCTTATAGAGAAACAAGAAGACACGGAGAGAAGTTATAACAAAAGGTATCAGACGAAGAAAGGTGCTGAGCTCAGGGTTACTGATAATCACTCTCTCAGAAGCATTTCTTTTAAATTAGAAACAGAAGTTACCTTGTATATCCCTAGCCAGAATTTCCATCTGTGATTTCGTATCGATGATTTCAACACTTTGAGTGTAAGGATTATAACGAACCGTGAAAGGTCGTGGTATAGATAAAGCAAATTCCCTACAAATAAAAATACAAAATTTTTTTATATTTCAAAAATTATACTAATTATTTAATTATATTTCCATCATACCTCATTTTTTGCTGAGCATCCTCAAAACTCTCTGCTAAAAAGTATACAGGTTGATATTCTGTAATTGGATACTTCTGTACGCCAGTCGTATAAGGATCAAAGGGTCTTACGTCTGGTTTATCACTTAAACAATACTGTAAATATTATAAAGGTAAATATTTAAATTTTTTGATAAAAATTCAACAAAATATATAATTTTATACAACATTAACATCATTCTTAAACATGGAGAGTAGAGAAATCCATACTTAAGTTATAGTCCAGAAGACATTTTCCAAATTTTAAATTATATGCAGTGATAATAATTAATACCTAAAGTATCAGTCATGGTTTTAGTTAGACAAACCGGGCTTTTATCTAGGATCTCGCGCTCGCATAATTTACGCTTGTCAATAACCAGACCTGTAATTCTGTACTGTTCGATAAAAATATGACAAGCGCAACACAGACAATATGCTAGGGGAGATGTCTCCAGGGAGGACGTTCTATAGGAGTAACAGCAAATCTGCTTTCCGGATAGGCTTTTCGGGTTTCTATGAGAAACTGACCTTGATTTAGGTGTTAGATATGTAAACTTGGAAAAACATCACGTGGTCAGCCCGTTTAATCAGGCGCGAAACCACGGCCACTACCAGTGTTCAGTGGTTTTTATTCACTCGGCCACTAGTGTGCCCTATCCAGTTCAAGTTAGGATAATAGCCTTTATAGAGTATCATGTACAGTGTTGGCATTATATTATATAAACATATAAGATGGGTCTCATAATTTAACGCTTCTAGAATCACGCATAATCTAAAATCGCTTTTGGATATCATGACGAAAAAAATGAGTACAACCCAGAGAAATTTTTAATCATATTTTAATCTATGAAATGCATAGTGTAATTCAACTTCAGGTTGGTTAAAGGTGAGATTCACACATTAAAAGTCAAATATCAGATGTAAACAGTAAATAAAAATAACTTGTAAGATATAAATCACAACTAGTTTTCAACACGCTGAAAAAATATCAGCTTAAGGTACTCACTTCAAGTTCTCCATAAGAAGAAAGAAGTCCAGCACCAAACGCACGAATCTGCCCTTGCTGCTTGCATAATCCGAATTCCACAGTGAACCAATAACACTAAAAACAAAAGAAATAGTATTATTTTTATGTTAATATTTAATAAATCCAACTTTAATTTAAAAAATTACCGTGGCTAATTTTTCGATATAGTCATCGGGTGCACCTAACGATGCTAATCCGATTTCTTGAGAGAATCTAGCAAAACCGGGATCTGCAAAGAGTGGTGCGTGGCCCAATAACTCGTGGCATACGTCTCTGCAATAACAGTATTGACAGGCTCGGCTTTGATATATACGAAAATGGAAAGAAAAAGCATGATTTATAATGGTGTACTAACGGTTCGGGAGTGTACAGGGGTTTCGATGGATGCCTGATGTACTGGGTAGAGTGGAAAACTCTAAAGGCCAATCCTGCCAAAAAGTCTCGAGAACTCAGAAGACCAGCAACGGGACGTAATTGAAATCCGGTACAAGCTACAAAATAAGATAAGTTCGTTATTCATCAAGGTACATTTTCAAACAAATAAGAATAGATCCATTGCAATGACGAGTTTCTCTATTTACAAGATCCATTTCCATTGACTTTTGCGATTTTTTGAAGTTAACTGTATGAAATTTTGCATCAAATTTTGAAAATTTTACATAAACGCTCCACCAGTGTTCAGTAGTGTCACTTGGTCCACTGGTAAATGAAACTTTCATCGATTACAATGATTACGTTTAAATTTAAGGCGGCCTTAGAAAAAATGATTTAAGGCGCTAATAAATATATTAAAGCTTGCCTTATAATATTAGTTACTAATATGATAAGGCTAGCTTTAATATATTTACTATTTACTAATAATTCTCATTAGCTGGAGTTTATGTAAATTCAAGAAGTGAAGCCCTCGTTATAAATTTCAAATTATTTATTTTAAAATGTTTGGAGTTCTTTGCACGAAATATTATCTGTGAAATTAGATAGGGTGGCCCAAAAGTTAGTTAACCGAAAATACTTTAACAGCTAGAAAACCGGTTTCGAACTGATGCATGTTGATAGTTCTTTCAAACTAGTTTTAATACTTTTAAACTAGTTAAAATAGTTGTATTTTTGTTAACCGACTTTTGGACCGACGAATATGCGAATTACTACAAGCTTCACCTTTCAAAAAGTTAGAAACATCTTCTAATTGAGGAATATTATCTTCTCGATAGCCACAATTTTCGATCATTAAACGGAAAATATGATTATGTTCTCGACAGGCATGAGTCGGGTAAAGTTTCGTCACTTCTTTAAAAACAGTTCCCCTGCAAGAAAGAAATTGTTGTTATGTAAAATAGTACAAAATCATAAAATTATATTTTAAATTTACCAAGTGCTGATTTCTTCAGGTGTATATTCTACTCTTGGAATTGGTTGCCCACTGAAAAATTAAGGTAATGGTAAAATTCAGTTGTTCAGTTATTCAAAAACACATTGCAACCCAAATAAGTCGATTAACCGTGTATTTTTGCAAGTGATTTTACAAAATTTTCAAGAATTTCAGCAATTTAAACAAGACTGATCTCATTTCGGACAGCCTACCGATGGCCGGTTGGATAAAACCACAAAAATTAGTAGTTAGTGATGCTTCGCGTTGGCCACTTGCAGGTTTCCAGGTTTAATTCACGTGCCTAACATGTAAATAAGGGCCAGTTTTCCATGGAAATAAGAGTAGATCGCCTAATTTGCGTTGCTTTAATCCTTTAATTCAATCCACTTTGAATAAGTTTACAAGTAACAAAAGTATTTGAATAAGGTATCAATTTGGTGCTTACAGCAGTTAACCGACTTTTGGGCAACACTGTAGACACGAAATGTCACTTACTGTCGATAAAAGTAAGCAATATCAGCAAAATATTTCCTTCTGGCTCTGTAAGTTGCATCTTTAAATCCCTGAAAAAATTTACGGCTTTAGTTCGATAAACTAATTATAAACGGCAAAGAGGTGATGAATTAGGTTTCTTTACTTACCGGATGATCCGCGTCGAGCTCGGAACCATATGACAGAATGTGATTAGCAAATTTATCTAAATCGCTTATTTTACCTGGAAACCATGGCACAGTATCTGAAAGAAACAGTTTAGATATTTTAAATGGATAAATACGATGACTCAAAAGTTAGTTAACCATTATAAAAACTAAATTGCAACACGTTACACGGTTTCACAAATTATTAAATTACTTATAAACAATCCGGTCAATTGACTTTTGGATCTTTGCCAGATATTCGCAAAGGATTCGGATGATCTCTCGTGTCTTTTGCGTAATTGTTTTTCTATACTCACCATTATTTTCCATTTGATCTCTAGCGATGACTTGCATGTATTGAGAACTCTGACGAAGGCAATCGAGAGCTTTCGTTATGTCTCCGGTATTTTCGCATTCTACAATGCATTCGTATTGATCTGCCATTCTTTTTGAAGATCTCGATTCGATGTGGTTCAAATTGACTTTATTTTCCTGCCAAAGAAAAGTCACAGTCAAATTAAAGCGCCACAGGACAGGAAATTTGAAACAGAAAAAATGAAGTACAGAAAACATTTTCATTCCTCATAGGCCTAAGACAAGAGTTTTTATAGAATACGAATATTTCAAAGTTGCCAACCTTTCGTCGTGAAAATTCGGTAAACGCCTGAAATCCCCTCTAAAACGAATGTAGTTCCCCTTGAAAATTGAAACAAGTTTCCCTCAATAGCTTTGCTCTAGGTAAATGCATATCGAAAAACTATTAATCTTTTGAAACTCCTGAGAAACACAAATGTTCACTTAAGTGGTGTGGGTACAGTTGAGCAAAAATATCATGTGATGAAGCAATCGCGAGAATAGTCATGAATGACGTGGCTTTATACGCTCCTATTAGTCGCTGCAACACCGTTAATCAATATGGACAGACTTTATTTTCTCCCCCTTACATTTCACACTATACTATTTCTCCCCCAAATTTTCCCCATTCTGCTGATTTTCTCCAATCTTAGGATAAAACACCTAAGTTGGCATCACTGAAATAGTGTTGTAAAATTAAATATTTGTATAATATTGAATTTCCAATAGAATTTCACGTAATTACAGTATCTTCATCTACGTCATAACTATATCCTGACATTAATTTCCTATCAATTTTATAAATTAAATATTTTTATCCTGTTATTATAACATACGAAATGCTCACCTTATATAACACCGTAATCAAAGAAAAAATCGAATTTAATTTTATTGACCATAAATTATTATTTTATTGCCTTATAATTGTGTGAATGACGTATTAATTTCTGTACATCTCTATTCAATGCTTATTAATTTCTGTAAAACATTAAATTTACTTGTTAAAATACAATACTTTTCCCGTTTAAGTACAACGTATTGTTTTATCGCTCATTCACCTCATTAGCATACAATAGCGTAACATACGTCTATGCAAATTATATGAATAGACGTCACATTTTCTGATTGGTCGAGATGGTAAACATTTTTACGTAAATTTGACGTCATTTTTAGAATTTACAGTATTATTATTATAAAACGAAAGAGATGACGTCAAACTGACATAAAAATTCCAACCAAACGAACATTGCAAAATACTTATTTCTGCAACATTATTTGTGTATTTGGTAATATAGTCTATATATACTTAACCGAACAGCCAGGGAGTGTGAGATGGAGTCGTGACTCGTGAGAAATGTGAGGCCTTTCTCCCTCTTCGGAAGTCGTAAAAATATAAATAACAATAGATTTTACAAAGAAACTTTGACTTACACCGCCTACCAGCGGCCAAGCGTTCTTCGTATCCTGAACACTGGGAGTTCGGTCGTGGGTTCGCGTCTCGCTCGACGGGCTGGCCACGTGGAGTTTTCCGGGTTTTCTCCATGTCTGTAACGCCTAAACGGCTGCCAATTTCCCATAAAAGACCTCCCGGAAGGCATTATTCCCGCGCGTACTAGCCAATTAATAATACTATCCATTGAATTATCACTTTCCACGGGGCGATGTAGCTGCTGCCCAACTTGTTATAAACAACTCCCAAAATTAAATAATTAAAAATTTATTGGTGTAATTATTTGTATCCAAGCGTTGCCCCAGCTGGAAAATTTTCTGAAGATGTCCATGGTTATAAATAAAAATGGAAGAGACGACAAAGACTTGTATCATGACTTGCCTTAAAAGCTATATTTTGAGGACTCCCGAAATTTAGTTCGGTTTTATTCGTATTAGACAACGCGACACGTGGGCAATCTGCCGAAGGAGGACTGTCTACGGGAAACTGGCTCTTTAGACGTTACTAATGTGAAGAAATACGGAAAACTCCATCTGACCAGTCCGGTGGTCAAGCGCGAACCCACCACCAACTATCAGAGTTTCGGTGTTTTATCCACTCGGCCATTAGTGGGACTCAAAAACTTAATCTTTATATAAAAACAATTGGGGACCCAAATAGAGAGGTTCACCGAAGACAAATAACCAGTGGCATGCCATAACATTTGATGATAGGGAAGCTGTGCCGGCCCTGGTTAGAAATATTGGAAGCGTTTCACATTTTGGTGTGTAGCATCCACGAGCTAAACCGCGTGAGGTTGGTGCTCTGTAAAGCCCATGAGCGAATGCGTATAATCTAGCTGCTTTAAACGATTCAAATATTTTTGGCGTGGAAGCTATCCCGTATTCGACAATACAGCAGATTCATTGGAAATATGCGTATACGAATTTATATTCGAATATACAATAACAATCTTTTATTAGTTTTCACATGTAGTATAAAAATTTGTAATACATAATGCGGCTATAATAAAATATTCATTAATTTTAATTAATTCAAAGTACAGTACGTTAAAATATGAAAATAATCGCACAATATGTATTTATAATTTAGAAAATGTAAGGGAAGCGGAGCTTCCATAGCTTCCATGGACAGACACGGTACACCACTGCAAATAACCATACTGTCCCTTTTAGCAGGGTCTGTAAATTGCAAATCTCTGATGTGCCAATACCATCAAGTAAAAATGTACTTTTATTCCTTAATTTCTTTGCCTAATCGAATTAATTTTAATTTTATAATTAATTAAACAAGTATTTCATTTGCAGAAAATTCAAAAATTTTAAATTTATACACACACAAACAAGAAATTGCTGACACAATTAAATTTTCGAATTGCAATTTTATATTTATCTATCGTTTAATTATTGCGTCATACTAAAAATTTATTTTAAATTTATATGAAAAAAATAGAAAAATCTACAAAATCCTTTTTAAATATTAAAATTCAGACAAGTAATGGTCAGTCTGTTGCTCTGGAGGACCCGGAATGGAATCCAAGGTTCGAAAAATCCTCAGGAATTTGTCAGGGGATGGTATGTACCGAATATGGTTTAAAAGACCCTCTTAGAGCGCACAGAATGGAGTAAGAAAAGTTTAATGACTTAAGATTTAAAGAAGACGCATTAATCAATTTAATCGTCTGTAATAAAATAAATAATTTATGCAGCTTTCATAAAAGATCAACGATAACATCGGCACGATATATGATAAATATTATCATTACTTTTACAAGAAAATTTTGATATTTATATTGCGGAAACGTATGATGCAACATTGACATTCAAACAGGTTTTTTTCCCCTTTATCTAAAGTCAATCGCAGTGATTATTCTGTCTTTAACTGCGACCTTGCTCCATTTATGCAAATGACCACACGAGCAGACACAATAGAAAGAAAGAAATAACTGAGAAATTAGCATTTCAAGTTCATACCTTGAAGACATTCAAGGCCTCAGCCAACGCACCGACCTCTTCCTTCAGTGAGAAGATGACGCAAATGCCATTCTTCTTGAGATCTTCGTCTTCCATCATGCGATGCTTTCCGGAATTAATTGAAAACTGCAAAAAGCAATAAAGACGTTTGACACTGAAGCGAAACACTCGGCAGCATAAACAGAATCACTTGTATTTATAAAGAGGACGTGCCGCAACGATCTGTAAGTCATCCAATTTCATATAATTTAACGCGCGTATTGGGAGGAAATTAATTTGACATTACTTTCTACCTTGCAATAAATTTTATTGCGTAGAAATGAATTTCAGTTATTTTAAAGTAGAAGCAATAAAATCTCATGAAGAAATTAGCATAATTAAACCGGAATCATTGCTAAACACGCGAGGAAAAAATAAAAAATAAAAATGCGTTTTTAGATGTCAATGCCAAACCGTGACTAGCGGAAAACTTAATGAGCTTGCAAATGTTAATATTAATTTAATACATCTGAACAAATATTTAATTTATTTCTACGGTTTTAAAAAGAGAAAGGTTTGTTAACCATGAATTCCACTTGATTTCATTGAGAGAATTAGCACGTTTTAAAGAGGAATCTAATTGCAATCCAATTGGAGTGGAATTTTTATTATTTTATCTACTATTAATTTATGCGCAAATTAGTGTAATTATCAGAACTATACAGGCCCTACATTTTGCAAAAATTTTCGTTAATTTAACTTTATCAGGGGGTGTGAAAGAGCGATGCGCGTAACTGTTATCCAAAAGAGTGCGCTACTTCGTACACGAAGTAAAACTTTAAAGGTAATTTTACAGCTTTTATGAATCGCGCATAGTCTAATATAATTAAAAAAAAACATTTAATTTAAGTAGCAAGAATTTAATTGAATGTACAGTACTTACGCTATCTGCATCTTGCAATGCAGTACAGAACTGTTTCAGATCAGTAGCTTCCATTTCTCCTGGTCGAGTGTTAGAGTATTATTAATTTAATTGAAGTAAATTCCCCGTTTCTTATCTTTCAGAGCAATTTCCTTTCGTCCAATAAAAGTTAAGTGGCCAGACTCGTATCTGATGACACAAGGTCAAAGTATTGCCTCAGCTCAAGACACGATTATTAACATGAACTTATTATCTTTGTTTTATTTAAATTCATATCCTGATATTTAAAAACTTATCATTGAATAAATTAAATTTTTATTACCAATAACACGGATAATTAATTTTAGAAAGGGAGTGAAAAAAATTATATAATTGTAATTGTAAAATATTCCAATAGATGGAAGCATAACACAACTTCAACCGAAAATAAATTTTAAAATTAAAATTTAGGATATTTTCTAAGTAAATACTAAAAATAAATACTTTTATTAAGTATTAAAACATTAATTTTGAGTAAAACAATCATTTTTTAGTGATAGAACTCTGGAATTTATACACGTTAGACCAAAAATGGCGGATCTAATGTTGATCTAGTATAGACACATAAATATGAATTAATTGTATGATTACTGAAATTCGCGTGAGTTTGTGCATTTGATAGATAACCTACATAAAAATTGTTTATTCATCATCCTGTTTTTACTAGATACACAGTTATCTACTCAACTAATCCCTTATCAAAGTCTTGGAACAGTATAAACAAATTACCGTGTTTCCATACTTCTTCCGGGTTATCACAGATTCATCTTCTCTGTCCTTGTAAAGTGATGTTTTCACAAATTGTAAACTGTATTAGAATGTATCTCTCTTAATTATACGCGGTTTTTTTATTTATAGCGTGTAAAATTGCTATTGTTTTATGTTTATAATGTATTGCATCGCCCTTCAGGTTTTTCTAGTGTCGTATATCGCTAGTAAGATTATCAATTTTCAGTTGTATGCATGGTTTCTATGTAAAAATATATAGTCTAGAGAAAACAATAGAATTTTCTGAATGAAAATTCTAAAAGAACTTACGAATTGTTCTGTATGACTGACACAAAGTCGACAGAAGTTGGGGCAATGCTATCAGAAATTAATGAAGGAAATTTTTTTTTGAAATAAAAAAGAAAAAAAAAGGTTGTTTTCCAATCAGTAGAACATCTACTCTTGTTAATAAACAAACAGAATACAAAGTGTATTATTTATTTACTAACAAATAGCGCACTTTGTATAACATTCTCCTATATAAACCATGTGTATTTCTCACATAAATCACATATCTGTACAGTACATACAACCAAGGCATTCAAGATTCAGACAAATATTTGGCCTTGATCCGAATTCACGTCCGGAACACTTTGTATATTTAAATACAAACTCGGAACTAAGTGTGGAGAGTTATAAAATACTTTTTAAAGTCACCCAATAGAAAAAAAATACCATACAAGCAACTGCTAGTAGGAAGATGTGTAAAATCAACACAATTGTAGCAAAGTAGAAGGGTGACAAATCGAATTTGGATATGATTTGTATGTAGCACTATTTTATGCGAATCTGTCCTTCAACTAGAGATTTCGATTTAGAGGACCGGGTCTCAGGAGGGTTAAAACGACATATAAATCTATCTTCAACCTCATCACTAGATCGACCCCATACAACAGACTATGGGGTCAAAGTTAACTCTAAATTTATATTTTTTCAAAAATTTTTAAAAGTAACATTCTATATATACACAAAATTATATAAAGTCTCACGAACTTTGACATTTGAAAAAGTTTATGAAAGCGATAAAAAAAAAAAAACAATATTATCAGTTTAAAAATGTTATTAAATAAGATGACTTGATTAGTCATCACGAAGAATTTTATATATTAAAGCTATATGGCTGACCATTATTATGCTCATCAGGACATCTCTTATCTATATTTGCAATACGATGAGTTATGGTAATGATAAGAGCAGATTTAGGAGATGTGGCGGGTGCAGCTGCAATCCCCCTTCTGAGGGTTTCCCCCAAGTAAAGCCAATAATAGAAATTTTTCAAGGCACGTTGTTTCCTTTATGCATATCCCTCAAAAGATGTCTAGATCCGCTATTAGAGGGGAAGAACAAGATTCGAACCGAAACTTTACATGGTTAAGTTGAAATTGAGCCACGTATTAAATAAGAACTTCATATTATTCATTTCTTCTTCTGGGAATAACCTAAGAAAGATACATAAAAATTCGTGGCATTCAGATATATAAACCTAATTAATTAACGGTTCTAGAGAACGTTTGCTACGTTATGAGTCTAATTTTGTAGGCGGGACTAAGTTAAAATAATTAAAATTTGCATAAAGTAGCAAAATATCCCAATACCAAACAGTTACGTAGATAACGTTTATTATATTTATACCAAGATGAAAAATACAATTATAAATTCTCCATTAACAGTTCACCTATACGGAACATTCTTGGTTAGTGCCAATAATACATACCTTTTATTTTAACTGAATTTCTATGGTACTGATGATATAATAGTTTTTTCACACGCTGTGGTACATTCGTATAAGCGAATTATAGCATAGAAGAGAGAAATTTCGAGTGTAAGTGTAACAAATTATGGGGTGAAATTCTGTTAACATTTCACCTATTATATAAGGATTACAATTATAAACTTTATTTGCTAAGTGTCATTATTGGAGAGTTTAACAGGAAGATTATGCAATACGAGTTGCCTCAGATGGGAAAGAGATTTACAAATCCACAATGCTGCTTTTAAAACATTTCCAAATATGTGATTTCACAAAGTTTCAATATATGATTTTGAAATTAATATTAATTAGATAAGGGGCTGTCCATTAATTACGTGTACAGTTTTTGATCCAGATCTGATTATCTCCCCCTCCTAGCTGTTTGCAATGATGCACGTTTGGCAAACCCTCCTTTAATTAAAGGAGTCCGACATTGAAAAAATGACGTAAACATGCTCTGTTACGTTATCCACATGACAATTATATAACTTATAACAGAAGCGTATGCTACTAATACCACTAAAAAATCCACGTAGACATCACCTCGTCGCCCTCATTTCCTTGAAACGTACAGTACATGTTATTAATGAGCAGACCCGCCGTAAGCGGGCGTGCAAGTCGTGCACCGCACGCGGGCGGCACGTCCAGGGGGCGGCAAATCCAGCGATCGGTTACGTAATATTCAAAGTCATTGTAATAATACCCACCCTACTTATAACATAAGAAATATCTTCGCATGGAGAAAAAAATCCGACCGGCGCGCAATTACTATACAGTATTCTTATTTATATTACAGGTATAGAGTTAACAGCGCCTCTGTTGGCATTTATCAAAATTAAGATGCAATGCGAAACGTCTGTCAACAGGTTGAACCATCCGGCGGCGCCCGAAAGCCAAGTACCCATAGTCGTGCTTTATGACAGAAGTTGACAGGACTGGCGAAAATAGGGAATTCCACAGAGCTTCCTTCTCAATTTGTACTTGTACGCATTCGAACAGTTCTATCGCATATCAAATTGCAATTATTTTGTTAATAATTCTTCTGACATGGGTATAATGTATAATTAATAATATCTTAACTTGGTTAGGATTTAAATCTGAAGCTTAAAGACGATTCAATTAGTGAAACAGACATTGACGGTATTGATTTGTTTAATGAAATCAATACTTTAAAGTTGCATTTTCCAGAAAACNATAATTCTTCTGACATGGGTATAATGTATAATTAATAATATCTTAACTTGGTTAGGATTTAAATCTGAAGCTTAAAGACGATTCAATTAGTGAAACAGACATTGACGGTATTGATTTGTTTAATGAAATCAATACTTTAAAGTTGCATTTTCCAGAAAACAAGTCTAAGGATCCACAAACCCTATTACAATATCTTTTTACTAATGACTTAATTTCAATATTTCCGAACACAGCAATAGCGCTAAGAATATTACTTACATTGCCGGTTTCAGACGCATTTGGTGAAAGGTTCTTTTCAAAGTTAAAAATTATAAAAAAAACTATTTAAGATCAACAATGCACCAGGGCTGTGGAGTCGGGAGGAATTTCCGGCCAGAGGAGTCGGAGTCGGAAAAAATGTATTGACTCCGACTCCCGCATTTTAAANGAAGGATTCGTAAGAAATCGGATTCCTAAAGAATGGAACATATCTCTATCTTATAGGGGGGTCGACTGTAGTTTTCTTTGTAGTATTTGTGTTTAGTAGTAAAATTATTTTGATCCAATTGAATTTAAATATTTTGGATCATTCCTTTATTATCACTGCTCTAAATAAGTACTCTATTTTTCTGAATGAACCAGACTAATTGATCACAGTTCATATTTTTCTTTTCTGAACAAGGGGCTGAAGTAGCTACATCGCACACTTTTTAATTGAACTAATCTTCTGGAAGGGTAAAATTTGAAGTGCAAATGTTGTCGAATATATGTAGATGTAGAATTTTATCGCCCGCTTTCTCCTCTTATTAAATATTTGTTAAAAATTAATTTTTTATAAAAATAAATATTAAAAATACTAACTACGAGGGCGGTTTTTTCCAAGCTCCAATGGTCCATAAAACAAAGACAAGCGTAAATAACAAAATGAATTTATTACTAAAAGTTCGGTACAAACATCGTTATTTTTCGACATAATCACCATGAAGATTGAGCATTTGTCATATCTGTGGACGAGCTTTTCCATCCCCTTGTCATAGAATGTCATAGAATGAATCCCAGTGAATTGAGATGGCCTTAACAACGTTGTTTTGAAGATCGTCATTAATTCATTAGTCTCAAACCACTGCCCTGCTAGCCACGTTTTCAGTTCAGAAAAAAAGTGGAAGTCTTCAACACCTTTAAACACTCAGCGTATAGCCCCGATTTAGCGCCGAGCGACTTTCACCTCTTTCCTGATCAGGAAAAGTGGCTAGGAGGGCAGAGGTTCGAGATTAATGACGATCTTCAAAACAACTTTGGGCCATCTCAATTCACTAACGGCAACATTCTATGACAAGGGAATGGAAAAGCTCGTCCACAGATATGACAAATTTCTCAATCTTCACGGTGATTATGTCGAAAAATAACAATGTTTGT